CAATCCACCTACCTCAGCCTCCCAAAGTGCTGGGATTCAAGCATGAGCCACCATGCCCAGCCCCACTGACTGCCTGAATGTGTCTTGAAATTAGTAATTCTGAATTTCTCTTTATCTTTAGTCCTCCACAGTTTGACTACGATGCCTCTGGGTATGATTTTCTTTGTACTTGCCCAGTTTGGGATACACTACCCTTCTTGGGGTAGATTTATATCTTTTGCCAACCTTAAATATTTCTTGGTCAGTATCTCTTCAAAGATTGTTCTCTGGGTCTCTAGTTACATATATGTTAAGCCATTTAACATTGTCCTACAGGTCTGAGATCTTCTGTTCAAGTTTCCTTCAGTAATATTTCAAACATTTAGAACAATTTTAGATTTACAGAAGCATTGCAAAATAGTACAGAAATTCCTATATACCCCACCCTCAGTCTCCCCTATTATGAACATCTTTCATTAGCACACGATACATTTGCCACAAGTAATGAACCAACAGTGATAATATTACTATTAACTAAAGTTCATATTCAATTCAGATTTCCCTGTTTCTCCTCATGTCCTCTTACTGTCCCAGGGTCATACCCAGAACACCACATCTTCTCAAGCTACTCTTGGCTGTCATGGTTTCTCAGACTTCCTTTGTTTTCTCGTTTGTGTTTTTGTTTCTTATGATCTTGACAGTCTTGAGGGTTACTGATGAAGTGGAATGACCCTCGGTTGGAATTAGCCTAATGGTTTTCTCATGATTAGACTGGGGTAACACATGTTGCAGAGGAAGGCCGCAGGTCACAGGTGCACACTTTCAGTGACTTGACTTATCACTGTTGATGTTAACCTTAATTGCCTGGCTGGAGGTAATGTCTGGTTTCTGCACTGAAAATTACTTTTTTCCCTTCTTTTTCATAGTGCAGTCTTTGAAAAGAAGTTACTGTGTGCAGCTCACACCAGAAGAGTAGGGAGTTATGTTCCACATCCTTAGAGGCAGAGTATTTGGATTTCTTCTGTATGAGAGATTTGTCTGCTCTCCCTCATTTATTTATTTACTCAACAATTTGTGGATATTTTTTCATACTTGGCATTATAATCCACTACTATATTGCATTGCTCAAATTGTTCCAACCCTGGCTATTGGGAGTTGTCAGTTGCTTCTATGACCCTCTGCTGTATCCCCATTATCATGAATTTGGGGTGAGTTTTTTAGGGGAAGCACTTTCTTACTTTTTGACACTTCAGCATGCTCCAAGCTCATCTTGTATGTTTCTTACCCCAGTTGTATAATCAACCATTTTTCTAAGGAGCCCTGGCTTATTTTATTGGATAATGGTTTCAAAAACCAAGAGCTTCTAGGATAATGTGGTAACTGAAAAACAAACAGAAACCAAGAACTGGGTCCTATTCGTTGCTTATTGCTACTCCTCAATTGGTGTTCCTTCGAGTCTAGCTCACCTGGCAGAGCAAAGGAATATGTATGTATACTTGAACCCATCTAGATATTCATATCTATAAATATTTATGTGTGCAACCATCTGCATCTGTATTAAGCTAAAAATGAGTTCACACTGATGTCTCCAACTCTACTCCACCACCACATAAACCATTCTAACTTCCTTCCTTTCCTTGTCTGTAACTTCTCACTGCAACAGCAATAAGCCCAGCCACCTACTATCCACTTTTGCCATTCCAATATACATGTGTAGTGGTTTCAGAATTAAGTTGGGATCCCATGAAGGGCAACTTTATCAACTACAGTACAGCGCTTACGTACAGCTTCCTTTGCTTTTAGTCTCATAGACTCTACTCATTTCTAAAGTTACTTAGGTCAACACTTTATTCCCCTATCCGTTTCAGTGAGATTGTTTACACATTTGTCTTGAGTCTTATTCTGCATTTCATCCTGGGATTCCCCTGACAGTCTAAATGATTTTTTAAATTTGCATACAATAAGGTTTACTCTTCGTGCTATAAAGTTCTACAGGCTTTGACAAATGCATTCACTGTTTACCATCGCAGTTTTGTACAGAATAGTCACCATTCACAATCACAGTATTGTACAGAATAGTCACCATTCACAATCACAGTATTGTACGGAATAGTCACCATTCACAATCACAGTATTGTACGGAATAGTCACCATTCACAATCACAGTATTGTACGGAATAGTCACCATTCACAATCACAGTATGCCAGGAATAGTCACCATTCACAATCACAGTATTGTGCGGAATAGTCACCATTCACAATCACAGTATTGTAGGAATAGTCACCATTCACAATCACAGTATTGTCGCAGGAATAGTCACCATTCACAATCACAGTATGCGGAATAATCACCATTCACAATCACAGTATTGTGCGGAATAGTCACCATTCACAATCACAGTGTACGGAATAGTCACCATTCACAATCACAGTATTGTACGGAATAGTCACCATTCACAATCACAGTATTGTACGGAATAGTCACCATTCACAATCACAGTATTGTACGGAATAGTCACCATTCACAATCACAGTATTGTACGGAATAGTCACCATTCACAATCACAGTATTGTACGGAATAGTCACCATTCACAATCACAGTATTGTGCGGAATAGTCATTCACAATCACAGTATTGTGGAATAGTCACCATTCACAATCACAGTATTGTACAGAATAGTTTCACTGCCAAATGCGTTCACCATTTGTCACTTTTTGCCCCCAAGAGTCCCTTGTTCTTCACCTGTTCAACCTTTTCAACATCCATTTTCCCAAACTCCTGGCAATCACTATTTAACATCTCTCCTCTCTAAAGTTTTGTTTTTCCAGAATGTCACATAATTGGAATCAGACAGTATGTAGCTCATAGCCTTTTTGTTTGTTTGTTTGTTTGTTTGTTTTTGTTTTTGAGGCAGAGTCTCAATCTGTCTCCCAGGCTGGAGTGCAGTGATGCAATCTCAACTCACTGCAGCCTCAACCTCCCAGGCTCAAGCAGTCCTCCCACCTCAGCCTCCCAAGTAGCTGGAACTACTGACATGTGCCACCATGCTTGAATGATGCTTGCCTGCCTTGCCTGGCGTGTCTGCCCCTCCTCATGCTTTGACTCCAGAGGCAGAGCAGCCACAGGCCTCTCCTCTCCTCTCCTGGGAAGGCCTCATTCCTCCCTGGAATTTGACTCATGCTGCTTTCTCTGTGTCCTCAGCTCTCATGGGTTTCCAAAAGTGCCCATGCTGTAGCTTCTCCAGCTTTCTCTCCTGGCTGGGGTGGGGGCCACAGTCAATTTCAACTTTCTGCATCCTAATCAGAAGCAGAAAGCCCTTGCCCTCCTTGTCACCACTTTGGTCAGAGGTGATGTCCTTCGAATCCACCCTTTTGCTGAGGTGCAGTCCTCTGGAGTCCACAGTCCAATCTGTGGTCCATAGGCTCTGGGTTACTGCAATTGGCAAACCCCACAGAGCAGCCATGTCTTCCGCTCACACTCACCGCCTCCTTTCCGTTGCTGGCCTGGGGGGTTCCTTTGCTCTGAAGCTCAGCCTTGCCCTTCAGCACTTTGCCTTGATGTGTGCAGTATACAGCACTTTCTCCCTGTTTCCACTGGGCGATGGGCTCCTTGAGGCCTGGGCCCTGTTGGGCTCACATGTGAACTCCAGTGCTCAGCATCTGACCTGGCTCAGTCATCATCCAATGTTGGGTGAATGGCTTTTTGAATGGCCAGACCCCCAAGGAGCTGATGTTTTTGCGGCTTCTAACACCCTCTCTGCAGTCTCTGCCCAGGGCTGGGCCAGGTTCCAGCCTAACAACAGCCCTGACCTGAATGAGCCCTGTTCCTTCCTTCTACTCAGTCCTCTGTGTGCCTCACTGCTGGGGAAATTCGGCCCCAAACCAGTTCTGAGGGTAGCCAGGCCTGGCTTGTCATCTCTCTGGACCTGGGGTCCCCTCTTCTGTCCACCCCACCCTCCTCTCCCACACCTCTCTCCAGGCAGTTGACAGCCATCCCAGGAGCCCCTGATGCTGACCAGGCAGGCCCCTCACAGCAGTCAGTGGAGGGTTGGAGGGAGGGTGATTTGGCACTTTCAGCGGACAGTGAGGGTGGAGGAGCGGGGAACAAGGGTCATTAGTCAGCGGGAAGTCACCCTCTCTGAAAGGGGCCTGTCCCTCTAAATGAGCCTGCCCTGTGGGATTCCAGGAGCGTGCCACCTTGTGTGGGCCTGGCCAGGGTCAGGAAGATCCTGAGGCAGAGGAGGCTGTCGGGAAGAGAAAGGGCCCATCTCAGGACCCCTCTAGGCCCTGGTACATCCGGGATCTTGGGATGCATGGAGGGAGAATTAAAGGGTGGGGCTGGCGAGGCAGGACACACTGCTCCCCATTCAAGCCCAGCGGGAGACAGAGAAGCAGGCCCTGCAGTGAACTCTGTGGATCTCCTATCTCGCTGCCCTGGGGACCAGCCCTCACTACAGAGGTAGGGCTGCAGCACCCAGCACTGTGGGAAAATGCCATGCTGCCCCAGGGAGGCCCCCAGCACCCCAGGGAGGTGCAGGCAGGAGGCTGCAGCTGAGCGCTGTGTTTCTCCCCAGGGAAGCAGCTGTCACCCCTTGCTAGCCGGCTGGGCTTCTTACAGGAGGAGAGGACCTTTGTAAAACGAAAATCCCGAGGTAGCCTTTGCCTTCCCTTCCAAAACAGCCCCAGGCAGGTGGGTGCAGGCCTCCCAAGGTGGGGGGACTCCGTGGAGGGGCAGAGGCTGGGTTCTGCCCAACCCTCACACGCCGAAGGAGGGCCATGGGGAGAGGACAGCGGCGGGGACCTCAGCCGGGTGCACCTGCTGAACGCAGGAGGCTTGCTGGGCACTGTGGATGCTCCGCCCCAGCTCCTGCATGACCTCGGCACATTCAATTTCACCGGCTGGCACAGGGGTGGGGCAGGCTGGGGCAGGGCATGCAGAGAGGGGCAGCAAGGCAGGCTGCCTGGAGGAGCTGGCCCTGGCAGCAGGTGAGAGTGGGCTGGGCAGAAGGCAGGAGGGCAGAATGGCCGGCTTCAGCCCTTGGGGCCTGGAGCGGCTGTGGGGGTCCGTGGAGGCAGAGAGTGTAAAGGGGCTCCCAGGTCCCTGCAGGGGTCAAGGACAAACGAAGCTCACTATCACTGAAGGCCTCAAGCCTGGGCCACCTGCGGAGGACTTGGGCAGCCAGGCTGGACCACCCATGGGGGTGGAAGATGGGGTGGAGGGCCACGCCCCAACCACCCCCTCCAAGCCTATGCCCTGGTTACCCTGGCCTTGCCCTACTGGCTTCAGCCCATGCTCCACCCACCCTCACCTTGCCCCGCCCACCCCAGTCTATGCCCAGCCCCATGCCACACCCACCAGACCTTGCCCCGCCCACACCCACTCCAGTCCTGCCCCACCCTCCCTGTGGCTCCCCGTGCTCAGGCTGCTCCTTGCCCGCAGGGATCCCAGAGACCCAAGAGGTGAGCGAGGTCTGCACCACCCCCGGCTGCGTGATGGCAGGTAAGCCTGGCCCCCTTGCCGTCCACAGCCTGCCCAAGGGCTGGGGGCTTCCGGCTGACACTGACACAGGCCCCGCCCCAAGGCCCAGGGGAGCAACTCCAAGACAGGGCCCTTAGAGCTGGGTGGGCCGGATTCGCTGTGGAGTGGGGGGAGCTGGTGTTCTGCTGGCATCTGGCACCCGCTGGGCCCCCAGTCCCCAGCCTTCAGCAGCCAGGCCCTGCAGCAACAGCCATCCCGCCTGAAGAACCCCAGCGGCTTTTGTCCACATTTATAGAAAGAAAGGTTCAATGAAGAGCCCCACTTTCTTACCTCAAATTTTCAACCAGGAATTTGTCTTAAAATTGGGCGTCAGGTACTACTATTTGCAGATGACAAAAACTGTTAACATGCTGTGAAAGCACCAATAGTGGAGAAGCTCTGGACTGTGACTCTTCTGCCCGTGTTGGAGGCTGGGGGGCCTGTAGTCGCGCCTTCTGTGAGGTCCCCAGTCCCAGAGATGGAGTGGCCAAGACCAACTCGGACAGAATTTGAGGGGGCCGGGCGCGGTGGTTCTCACCTGTAATCCCAGCACTTAGGGAGGTGGGCGGATCACAAAGTCAGGAGATCGAGACCATCCTGGCTGACACGGTGAAACACTATCTCTACTAAAAATACAAAAAAATTAGCAGGGCTTAGTGGCGGGTGCCTATAGTTCCAGCTACTCGGGAGGCTGAGGCAAGAGAATGGCGTGAACCCAGGAGGTGGAGCTTGCAGTGAGCACTGCACTCCAGCCTGGGCGACAGAGCGAGACTCCGTCTCAAAAAAAAAAAAAAAGAATTTGAGGGACGGTCTTGGGTCAGGGGTGCAGCCCAGCTACCCCAGTTGAAAACTTTCAGTGGGAAGCCTGGGGCTCCCCTGTCCCCTGCATACTCGGAGTTGCTGGGGCAAAGCCAGCCCCTCTGGGAGAATACAAACCCCCACGGTGGTGAGAGTCGCCCCTCCCTCTGGGGATGAGTAAGGGGGCAGGGGGCAGAGTAGGGACAGAAAGGCCCTGGCCGACAGCCAGGACCTGGGCCCAGCTCACAGGGCAGGTCCACCAGCTGAGCACCTCCTGTGAGCAGGCACCGTCTCAGCCATCGCCTCGGCCTGCAAGTCAGACTGCTGGTGTTCCCAGATTCACAGACAAGGAAATGAGTCTCAGAGGGTTGGGGTCAAGGTCGTGTGGTTAATAAGTGAAAACCCAGCCAACTCATGCCTGAATTCCCAGCAACTCTGGAGGCCGAGGTGGGCCACCTGAGCCCAGGAGTTCCAGACCAGCCTGGGCAACACAGAGAGACCCTGTCTCTACAAATCAATGTTTTTTGAAAAGCATTCAGGCGAGGTGGCACACATCTGTGATCCCAGCTACTCAGGAGGCTGAGGTGGGAGGATCGTTTAAGCCCAGAAGTTCAAGGCTGCAGTGAGCTGTGATCACACCGCTACACTCCAGCCTGGGCCACAGAGTGAGACCCTGTCTCCAAAAATAAATAAGTGAAAACCCTAGCACTGAATCCAGGTTGGGGGATTCCCTCTCTGCAGCTCAGAGAGGGTGGTTAACTCTCCCAGGGCACACAGCTGCAACTGGATGGACAGCAGCCCCTTCCCGAGGGACCAGGCTGCCTCTTGGACCGGGAGGCAGGCTTCTGGACTATCCACAACTCTCTCTGTCTCCCCTCTCCCTGCTCCACACCATGGGGACAAGCAGCCGCCAGGATCCTCCAGAACATGGACCCGACCACGGAACCATGTGACGACTTCTACCAGTTTGCGTGCGGAGGCTGGCTGCGGCGTCACGTGATCCCCGAGACCAACTCAAGATACAGCATCTTTGACGTCCTCCGCGATGAGCTGGAGGTCATCCTCAAAGGTGGCAGAGCATGGCCAGGGGCGCAGCGGGGTGACACCGAACAAGACGGCACTGGGCCAGGAGTTGGTCCTGGCTGTGTCTCGCCCCTATCTCTGCTTCCTTCTTGGTCTGGTGGGCACGGAGGAGAGGGAATAAAGACCCAGCAGCTGGAGGGCCGCCTCTCGCCGAGCGCTGCAGGGGGTGTGGGGACCTGTGACTTGGCCCCCACAGCCTCGTCAGGCCTCTGTCCAACCTTTTCCTGTGCCCACAGCGGTGCTGGAGAATTCGACTGCCAAGGACCGGCCGGCTGTGGAGAAGGCCAGGACGCTGTACCGCTCCTGCATGAACCAGAGTGAGTGGGGGCAGCCAGGAAGGGGCCGAGGCGGGGGACCGGGGCGGGTTGCCCCTGCCAGGACCTAGCACAGCCCCAGGACTCCATGGCTGCCCCTAGGGTAGGAGTGGGTGCCTTCGGGACTCATGCCAGAGGGTCTGTGTGCTGTGTCCTGCTCCCAGTCACGGGGTCCAGGCTCACAGTAATGCCAGCTGCCCTGCAGCCTCACTCACACCCCAACCCCAGCACAGACCACACGTTCCAGGCTGCAGGAAGACTGTGTGTGTGTGTATTATATGTAAATGAGTATGTGTATTATACATTGTATACATGTGTATTATTGTATACATGTATTGTATACATGTGTATTATACATTGTATACATGTATTGTATACATGTGTATTATACATTGTATACATGAGTATGTGTATAATACATGAGTACGTGTATACACATGTGTATTATACATGCATATTATACATTTATGTGTGTATATGTGTGTTGTGTGTATATGTAGGCATGCACATTGTGTGTGTTTATGTGTGTGTGTGTATGTGTATATATGTATATGTGCACATGCATGCATCTGTGTATATGTGTATATGTGATTTGTGCATGTGTACATTTGGGTACATGTGTTGTGTATGTATGTATATTGTTATGTATATGTGTATATGTATGCATGCAGTGTGTACATATGTGTGTATATGCATGCATTTATGTGGTACATATGTGTGTGCATTATGTGTTCACGCAGGGGTTATGTGCATTAATCAAAATATTAATGGGATAGTGTATAAGGCATTATGTACATGCATGTATGTGTATATATATTTTTTCACATTCCTCCATGGGTGTGTCAGTGTGCACATGTGCATGTTGTGTGTGTATCAGACACTCCATGTGTGCCTTCTTCGTGTATCAGTGTGTGCACATGTGTTATTATGTGTATGTATATGTATATATGTGTATGTGTGTATGTGTGTACGTGTTGTGTGTGTACTGACATGTGTGTCATATGTGTGTATGTGGATGTGTGATGTGTATGTGTATATGTGTATGTGTGTATATGTATATGTATGTGTATGTGGTATGTGTGTATATATGTGTTATGTGTGTTTTCTATGTATGTACATATGTACATGTGTGTGTATGTAGATGGATGTAGATGTATATGTGCATGTGTGCATGTAGATGGATGTGGATGTGTATATGTGTATGTACATGTGTGGCAGTATATGTGGTTTCTATGACAATAGATGTATGTGTGTGCATGTAGCTGATGTGGATGTGCATATGTATATGCATATATGTGTATATGTGTATATGTATGCATATATGTGTTATGGTTTCTATGCATGTACACACATGTACGTGGCAAAAATGAAATGACGTGACGTGATGTGCATGTGCACAGTGTGCACATGCATATGTATGTGTATATGTGTATATGTGTTTTGTGTATATGTGTATATGTGTATATGGGAGCATGTGTATATGTGTATATGTGGTTTTCAGGTATATGTGTATATGTGTATATTGTAGTTTTGTGTATATGTGTTTTGTATATGTGTATATGTGTATATGTATGTGTATGTGTGTGTGTGCATATGTGCATATGCAGTATATGTGTTTGTATATGTGTATATGTGTATATGTGTATATGTGTCTTTGTATATGGGTTCTCTGTGTATATGCATATGTGCATATGTGTATGTGTGTATGTGTGTGTGTATATGTGTATATGTGTATATGTTTTATGTATATTGTATACATGTGTCATGTGTGTGTGGATGTGGATGCATGTGGATGCATGTGGATGCATGTGGATGTATGTGGATGTATGTGGCAGGCAGATTATCCAGTGTTTCCAGTCTCTATTAGTGAATCTACGTGCTTGGAGCACCCCGCCCAGCACCGTCTCAACTCCTCCACTTGGGGTCTGCAGGCCCAGCCTGGTGGTTGTGGCTGGCAAGAGATAGCTCTCCACTGAGCACCAGGGTTCAGGGCTGGCTTGTTCTCTCTAGGTCCTCTGAGTGGCTGGCTGTTCTCCCCAGGGGGTCTCGTGGAGCCTCCGCCTGACAGTGGAACTCACTGGGACCCTGGCTTTAGGGGGCGTCTCCATGAGACCCCTGCTTGGGTGTACTGGGCTTGTCTCCTCCCCATGGAAACTGAAGGCCGGGCCCCCAGTCTGGGCAATACCCGCAGCTGGAGACGACTTCCTGTGTCCTCACCTTTACTTAATTTTTGGCCTGAGAGGCTGAACATACAAAGGGCAGGGGCCAGACCATGTGGAAAACCGGAACGCGACTCCGGACCTGCAGCCCAGCCCGGAACCCATCCCTTCATCCTCAGTGGGCAGCCCAGGAGGTCAGACGGCACCCCCACGGCATCGGGCCCCAAACAGCCGGGGCCTGCCTCGTCCCTGGCAGCCTCCCCTGGAATGTCTGTCCCTGCTTCCAGTGTAGGACCCGAGCCAAGTCCGGAGGAGTCCAGCCTCTCGTGAGCCCACCACAGCGTCCCCAGGCCAGCGGCCCCCACTCGGCCCACCTGGGCCTCCCCTCTTCCACCAGGAAGCCCTGCCGCTCTTTGCAGGCCTTTGACCTGACAGTGCGCCTGCCATGCTGTGCCAGCCCCGAAGCCTTCACTTTGCCCTCTGGGTGGTCTTCACTGATTCCCACAGTGACTCTCTCCGTGTCCCCACCTTTACTTAATCTTCCACTGCAGGGCTCCTGAGCTGCTTGTCGGGGCCCCACCATGCTGAGCTGAGACACAAGACACACACAGGCCCCAGGGCTCCCCTGCCTCCCCCACACCCCCTCCCAGCCCACGTGGCACCCGCCGTCGCTGCCTGAGTCCTCACCGAGGCTTGGCCTGCGCCCAGAGCCTCCACTCCTCTCCCAGGCTCCTCGCTTGCTGGCCGGCTCCCAGGTCCCAGGGGCTCCCTCCCACCATCCTCTTTGTCCCTCGGGGCTCGTGCGCTTTTCTCAGCCCCCAGGTTTCCTTTCACGCCTGTGTCCAGCCTCAGCCTCCGCCTCCAGCGCTGCAAAGCTGCCAGGATGCTGCTCTGTGAGGGGAGGGTGCAGGTGTAAAGGCCCAGGCTGGGAGGCCACCTCTCGCCAAGCACTGCAGGGGGTGTGGGGACCTGTGACACCGGCCAACAGTGCCCCCACAGCTCTGTGTCGTGGCATGTGAGCCACAGGGAGGCTGGGAGAGTGACCACTGCCTCCCTCCTCAGGTGTGATAGAGAAGCGAGGCTCTCAGCCCCTGCTGGACATCTTGGAGGTGGTGGGAGGCTGGCCGGTGGCCATGGACAGGTGGAACGAGACTGTAGGTAAGGCCGGGCCTGGTGGCAGCCTCACAGACAAACGGAACAGGACCACGGCCAGGACTCCTTCGGCCCAAGACTTTCCAGGAGGGGCCCCCACCCCCACCCCCAGCTGCCTGCTCTCAGGAGCCCCAAGAGGCCCAACCCAGCCAGGGCAACCTCGGGGTCCTGGGAGGTGGTTTAGGCTCCATGCTGGGGAGTTGGTGCCTCATAGCCAGTCCCATTCAGCCCTGCAGAGGGACGCCCCTCCTCGGCCCCTAGGAGCACTTGACGCTCAGGCCCCAGCCAGGCCTCGGCAAGGCCCCGGCCCCAGGGTTCCCCACTCTAAGCATGCGCTCCATTCCCCCAGGGGCATGAGTGACGCCCCACGTGACTGGCAGCCCTGACGACCCCATGCTGCGCCCAACCCCCTCCCGTCACCTGGGGGCCCACCTGTGGCTCCTGGGCTGTTAGGGAAAGTGTCTCCCATATTCCCCAGTCCCTAAGGTGCACGGGTGAGCTCCCCACCCTATGGCCCCCTAGTTCCTAGCTCCGGAGGCCAGATTCACTGACAAGGGGCCGGGCTGGGACCCCAGGGCCCGCCAGTCTCCAGAGCGGGGTGCTGCCTCCCCAGGACTCAAGTGGGAGCTGGAGCGGCAGCTGGCACTGATGAACTCACAGTTCAACAGGCGCGTCCTCATCGACCTCTTCATCTGGAACGATGACCAGAACTCCAGCCGGCACATCATCTACGTACGAGCTGCGCCGGTGGGCAGGGGTAGGCAGGGTCCCCGAGCCTGGCTGGGGGCTCTCGCAGCACAGCAGGAGGACAGGCCAGGCGGTCAGGGAGTTCCAGGGTCTCCCGGAGCCTGGGCTCCTGGCTCCTGTCCACGTCCATGGGCCCAGGGATGAGCTGCTGCTGCTGGAGTTTCTGTCGGACCTCCTGGCCGAGCTGGTGGCCACAGCAGAACCCGGCTCTGGTCAGAGGGGCAGGGCTCCTGAACAGCAGGGCTGGAACCAGGGCAGGAGGCCTGACCTCAGGGAGCCACTGCTGGCCACGGGCTGGAGGCCAAAAAGAAACACACGAAACAAATACACGCCCCACTCTGGGGGAGTCTCGGGTGCTGCGAGGCCCAGGTTAGCCTGAACCGCTGCCCCCCACCCCCGCCACCCTCTCCAGTCCAGCCCAGCACCCCACCATCACTCAGGGCAGGGCCTGGGCTCCCAGGTCCAGCACGAGCTCTGCCACCAGCTCCTGGGCAGAGCATGTGTCCACAGGCCACAGTCCTGGGGGGAGGAGGCTGCTGCCTGCCTCAGCCAGGCTGTGGGGACTCCAGGCCCCTTGCCCAGGGTCACACCTTCTGTGTTTCCAGATAGACCAGCCCACCTTGGGCATGCCCTCCCGAGAGTACTACTTCAACGGTGGCAGCAACCGGAAGGTGGGTGGGTCCTCACCACAATGCCAGATGACCCCACGACACCCCCTCACCCCCTACCCTGTGGCCTGGCCCTCCTGTAGCCCACCTGGCTTTCCCTCCCCAAAGCTGGTGTTAGTGAGCACCTGTGGAGGTTGAGCCTGGCACTGAGGGCGGGGGGTGCAGACGCAACCCATTGCTTGCCACCATCCTGGGGGGACGTTGCCTCAACACCCGGGCCAGGCCTGCGGACAAACTCAGCTCAGCAGCAGCCCCCGTGGGGCAGAACTGCCCTCACCGTCCCGTCATACAGAACCAGGCCCCGCGCCTGCTCCACCTCCCCCCAGCTCAGCAGCAGCCCCCGGGTGGGGCAGAACTGCTCCCCTCACCGTCCGGGCTGAAAGAACCAGGCTCCCGCGCCTGCTCCACTCCCCGTCCTGGCCATACAGAATTCAGGCCTCACGCTTTCAGCCCACCTCCCCGCCCCGTCATACAGAACCAGGTTTGCGCCTGCTCCACCTCCCCCATCCCTAATACAGAACTACAAGCCCCCGCGCCTGCTCCACCTCCCGCGTCCCGTCATACAGAACCAGGCTCTGCGCCTGCTCCACCTCCCCCATCCCTTAATACATAGAACTTTCAGGCCCCCGCACTCCACCTCCCCAGTCCCGTCATACAGAACCAGGTTTCTGCGCCTGCTCCACCTCCCCCGTCCCGTCATACAGAACCAGACTCTGCGGCACGGGATTGCTGGGAGGGCCCCTGGAGATCTGAGCGCAGGCAGATCTCTGCTCCACCGAGACTGCTCCACCTCAAGGGGCTGTCAACAGAGGAGAGCGATGAGGACCCCCACTGTGGACGAGGGGACCTTGAGGCTGGCAGGCCCAGGACTAGCCTGGGGTGCAGGGAAGGGTAGGGAAGGACAGGGAGCAGGTGAGGAGGGCACAGGCATCCAGGCACCAGGGCAGAGGTGAACAGGCATGAGGCATGAATGCCCCAGAGGGCCAGACACAATCCAGGGGGCCTCCTGGTGAAGGTGGGCTGTGAGCTAGACTTTGAAGGATGACCAAACCCAGAGGAAGGGCCGTGTGGCCAAAGGTGGGCAGTGGTGCTGAGAGAACCAGGCCAGAGCAGGAGGGACTGGAGCATCTCAAAAGCGCTGTGTATGGCCATGTGCTCAGACCAGGCAGCTGTGGGCTGAGCCTGGCCAGGGCATTGGCCTGCACTGGGGAAGCCCTGCCCGGCGTGAAGAAGGCAGCTCCCTGAGGAGCAAGCTTCCTCAGGATCCAACTCCTGACCCTCAGGCCAGGGAGCACCTGGGTAGGGAGGCCCCAATTAGCCCTGGCACCCACCACCCCAGCACCCACAGCCCTGGCACCCACAGCCCCAGCAGGCCCAAATTAGCCCTGGCACCCCCAACCCTGGCACCCACCACCCTGGCACCCACAGCCCCAGCACCCACAGCCCCGGCAGGGCCAAATTAGCCCTGGCACCCCCAACACAAGCACCCACCACCCCAGCACCCACAGCCCTGGCACCCACCCTGTGCCAACTCTTATAGGCAGCCACACAGCTTAAGCCCTGAGCAGACGCAGAGTAGGTCCCCTGTCCAGAGGCTCGGGCACAGGTCATGCATCTGAGATGCTCCCACTTGGCACTCTGTGTGACCGAGAGCCTGCTGGTCAAGGTGGGTGGACGCGCATCAGGGGCTGCCCCATGTCCTACGCCCACCCCACCCCCACAGAGAGCTCTCTGGGGGCCATGGTGGCCAAGGTCATCCAGCCCCGCCCGGCGTCCTTTGGCCCAGGTGCGGGAAGCCTACCTGCAGTTCATGGTGTCAGTGGCCACGATGCTGCGGGAGGACGCACACCTGCCCAGGGACAGCCACCTGGTGCAGGAGGACATGGCACAGGTACTGGAGCTGGAGACACAGCTGGCCAAGGTAAGGAGGCCGGAGTGGGCGGGAGCGGGCAGGGAGTGGGCCGGGAGCCCCAGATGGCGTGGCTGGCCAAGGTGAGGGGGTCCGGGGTGGGCCGGTAGCAGGCAGGGAGTGAGCTGGGAGCTCGAGGGCGCTTCCTGGACACCCACCTGTGTGACCGCTCTCCCCGGCGCAGGCCACGGTGCCCCAGGAGGAGAGGCACGACGTCATCGCCCTGTACCACCGGATGGGCCTGGAGGAGCTGCAAAGCCAGTTTGACCTGAAGGTGAGGCCACACCACACAGGAAGCCGGTGCTGGCCGGGCGGAGACTCGTGGGGGACATGGAAGTGACCCTCTGAGAGGGCACCCTGCCTCGCATTTAAGCTCAGAAACATTCCCCCTCCCCGAGCAGGGAGACCCTGTATCTGATCACCCAAACCTGCTGCAGAGCAGCACCAGCCCGATTTCTAATGTCACTGGGACAGCAGTGCCAACTGTGCCGTCCTGGAACAGAGTCACCCATCGGTGCGGTGCTGTGATGGCCCCGGTCTTCTGAGCAGGAAACGGAGGCCTTAGGGGGCTGCTGATGTGTGGGGTGTGCAGGGTCCCACCCAGGGCTCTCAGACCCCAGGTCTGGCTCAGAACCTTAGCAGGGTGCTGCCTCCCAGTCCTGCCTGCCCTGAGAGTAGCAGCTGCCCCTGGCCACACCCTCAGGTGCTCCCCTCCCCAGTGCCCAGGCCAGGCACTGCCCTGTGCTTTGAGGTGGAGGCTGGAGAGGAGCAGCCCAGCCTGGGAAGGGACAAGTTCCCCACTCCTTCCGCCGACTCTCACCCTGCTGGAGCAGCCGGCCTTCTCAAGGGCCTCCTCCCCAAAGAGGCGCAGGTGTGCAGCTTTGGCAAAGGGTGCCCAAGTCAGCGAGGGAGGGCAAGGGCAGAAGGGGGTCCAAAGCCCCTGCCCCCTCAACCAGGGGATGTCCCTGAGTGTCTGGAGCCACAGCTCTTGCCAAGGGCAAGATAGAGAGACTCTGGGGAGAGCCTCGCCCCAGGGAACCTAGTGCCCTGGAAGGCTGGTGGTCTCTAGATCGGTGCTGGTCTCCAGGGCTGGCCTGCAGGGGCACACCTTCCCCAACACCCCACCGCCCCTCACGCCCAGAACACACGTAGTGGGGCCAGGCTCTATTCTGGCCCTGGGCTTTAGCCCCTTCCCAAACAAAGGCCTGTCTCGATCGAGGTTCCAGTGCGGAAGAGGGACAGGAAAGCAGAGTGAGCTCTAAAACGTATCAGAAAGACAGAAACGGGGCATGGAAGCGGCCCGCTGAGAGGGCACCTTGTCTCACATTTATCCCCTAGCAGGGAGACCCTGTATTTGATCACCCAAACTTGGTGAGGATGAGCTCAGCCAGGACGGCAGACAGGAGGTAAAGCCTTGCGGAGAACCAAGGGCCATGGCTGTCTGGTGCCAGCGTGTCTCACACAGCAATTCCCAAGGGTCTGGGGCAGGGACTCTCGGCTAGTGAGTGCCAGGCCTAGAGACAGATGGAGTAGGAAGTAAAGCGGGGCGCACCGTGTCTGACCTTGGGGGCCACTTTAAAGTCTCAGACTCTGCCCAGGAAGGGTGGGGGTACGACAGGACGTGACCTAGTTCACAAGTAAGAGTGAGTGAAGGGGACAGGGCAGGTGGCAGAGAAGCCAATCAGAGGCTGCCACACAGCCCAGGTAAGAGATGGCAGCTCTGTCAAGTGGGCTGCCCGTGGTGGATTGATTTCAGAGGTGGAGCCAACAGGGTTTGCAAATGGACTAAATATGGAAGTGAGAGAACTCAGACGGCCTGAGGTTGCTGTGGAGACATCACAACGGCAGGTTCAGGGGAGCGTCCAGGAGCCCAGGGTTTGGGGACATTTAGTTTACAATGCGTTTATGATATTCAGAATTGCCCCAAAGTGAACACGTCCACACAACCACCTCTCAGATCCTCAGATCAAGACTTACGTGACCACCGACATCTCAGAAGCCCCCACATGCCCCTGCCTAGCCCCTGTGCACGCCTCCTTCCCTGGAGAAGATGATCCTGACTTCTCCCTGGAGGGAAGCTGGTCCCTGACGTGGCCTCTCGACCGATTGTGGTGTCTGACTCCTAGGGAAAAGAGACCCTGACTTCTCCCTGGGCTGGAGGAAGCTGGTCCCTGACGTAGCCTCTCGATTGCTGAGTGGCCTCTGACTCTAGGAAGAGACCCTGACTTCTCCCTGACTTCTCCCTGGAGGGAAGCTGGTCCCTGACGTGGCCTCTCGATTGCTGAGTGGCCTCTGACTCTAGGAAGAGACCCTGACTTCTCCTGGGAGGGAGGCCAGTCCCTGATGTGGCCTCTTGATTGCTGAGTGGCCTCTGACTCTAGGAAGAGACCCTGACTTCTCCCTGGAGGGAAGCTGGTCCCTGACGTGGCCTCTTGATTGCTGAGTGGCCTCTGACTCTAGGAAAAGACCCTGACTTCTCCCTGGAGGGAGGCCAGTCCCTGACGTGGCCTCTCGATTGCTGAGTGGCCTCTGACTCTAAGAACATGCGACGACTCGGGTCCCACTGTGCTGTCTCTGGGCCTTTTCTGAGTGACGCTGTCATGCCCATGCCTGTGTATGCCTGTGGCAGGCAAGTGGGTGGGAGTGGAATTGCTGGGTCGAAGCACACGCATCTGTTCAACAGTAACAGGCACCGTCTTTCCCCAGAGTCATCCAGGGATGTGCGCTCCCCAACAGCGGCTGGTGCCACATGCTCAGCCGTGCTGGGTGGTGTCCGTCCTCACCTTAACCATTTGTGCACCTGTGTAGTGGGGTTTCATCTGGGTTCAACGTGACTTTCCCCAAGGGCAGATAAGGTTAAACGCCATCTCCTGTCAACTGGCCAATGCTGTTCCCTTTTGTGGAACATCTGTTCGAGTCTTGCCCGTTTGTTCTATTGGGCGATCTTTCTCTCATTGCTTCTTGGAGTTACCTATTTTAGATGTGACTCCTTGGTCAGCTTATGTGTACAAATGGTCTCCCCACTGGGCAGCTTTGCTTTTCTACTCTCGTAAGAGTTTCTTTGTTTTGAAGAAGGCTATTAAATGGTCCAATTTATTGACTTAGCAAACGTGTGCAGATCTCTTCTTCATGGTTAGTATTCTTTGTGTTCTGCTAAAGAACTCTTTGCCTACCCTCAAGGTTGCTTAGGTCTACAGTCTACTTTGAGTTGACTTTTTTAATGAGCAGTGAGATGTAGGAATTGTTTCTTTCTTATGGATTTCCAGTCAATCAGTACCATTTATTAAAAAGAGCCCCCTGTGAGTCCCTGGTCATGGTGCTTTCTGTGTTATAAATCAGGTGTCCCTGTGTGTCTTTGTGTGGGCCCATATGTGTATTTCTGGACTCTCTTCTGCCCCACTGGTCTCTTTATCTACCCAAGTGATAATCCCTACCCCCTCACTCCTTCAGCTTTATAATGTCTTGGTAGTCAGTAGCACGTATGTCAACTCTATTCTTCAAGAGTGTCTTGATAATTCTCAGTCCTTTGCATTTTCATATAAAACTTAAAATCAGCCTGCCATTTGCATACACACACACACATACAAAGAGAAAACCCTGCTAGAAATTTGATAGGGGTCGCTTTGAATCTCTATATCAGTTTGGGGAAGACTTTGCAATGCTGAGTCTTCCAGTCCATGAACATGGTATATGCTTCCGTTTATGCTTCAGTTTTTCTTAATAACTTTTAAAACTTTCAGTGTTAAGTTCTTATACGTATTTTATTAGCTATATTCCAGGTGTTTGGTTTTCTACCATAAATAGAATCATTTTGAAGTTATCTTATTTGTTGCTGACATATGGAAATACCGGCTTTGTAAATATGCAGTCTTAATGCACTTATTAATTCTGGTTGTTTATTTGTAGAATAAACAAAATCATATCATTTGTGAAAAACAACAGGGGGTTTGGGTTTTTTGTTTTCGTTTTCGTTTTTGTTTTTGTTTGAGACAGAGTCTCACTCTGTCACGCAGACTGGAGTGGAGTGGCACAATCATGGCTCACTGCAGCCTTGACCTCCTGGGCTCAAGCCTCCTGAGTAGCTGGGACCACAGGAATTCACCACCACCATGCCTTGGCTGATTTTTTGTTTTGTTTTTTGTTTTTCAGAAACAGGGTTTCTTTATGTTGGCCAGGCTGGTCTTGAACTCCTACACTCAAGCAGTCCTCCCCTCTGGCCTCCCAAAGTGCTGGGATTACAGGCATGCGCCACCGCGCCTGGTCCAGTTTTATTTATTCTCTTTCAGTTCTTACTGGCTTTATCCCATGTTTGCTCTTACTGAACTGGCCAGGATTTTGAGCGTAATGCTGATGTCATGATAGTAGACATTAGAAGAAAAGCACATACATTCTTACCATTAAATTTTATGTTTGACTGGGCACAGTGGCTCACACCTGTAATCCCAGCACTTTGGGAGGCTGAGGCAGGTGGATCACCTGAGGTCAGGAGCTCGAGACCAGCCCGGCCAACATGGTGAAACCCTGTTTCTACTAAAAATAAAAAAACTAGCTAGGTGTGGTAGCACATGCCTGTAATCTCAGCTACTAGGAAGGCTGAGGCAGGAGAATTGCTTGAACCCAGGCGTCGGAGTTTACAGTGACCTGAGATCATGCTGCTGCACTCCAGCCTGGGCAACAAAGCGAAACTCTGTCTCAAAAATAAATTTAAAAAAAAGTTATGTTTGCTATGGAGTTTTGTTGCTGCTGCTTCATACATTTCTTTTATCGGATTATAGAACTTTCCTTCTATTTTTCTTTTTTTCTTTCTTTTTTTTTTTTTTTTTTTTTTTTTTTGAGTTTTTCTTTTTTCTCTGGGACGGAGGCTGGTGTACGGTGAAGCAATCTCAGCTCACTGTAACCTCTGCCTCCCAGGTTCAAGCAATTCTCCTGCCTCAGTCTCCCAAGTAGCTGGGACTACAGGCGTGTGCCACCATGCCCAGCTAATTTCTGTATTTTTAGTAGACACAGGGTTTCGCCATGTTGGCCAGACAGATCTTGAACTCCTGGCCTCAGGTGATCCACCCACCTCAGTCTTCCAAAGTGTTGGGATTACAGGCATGAGCCACTGTGGCTGGCCCCTTCTATTTTTATTTGCCAAGCGTTTTTATTATGAATAGATAACAGATTTTATCAAATGCCTTTTCTGCACCTGTTGAAATGATCATGTGACTTTCCTCCTTTATTCAGTTATCGTAGTGGATTAAAATGATTTGATTTTCAAATGTTATGCCGAACTCGTATTCCTTGAATAAATCTAATTCAGCTGTGAGGTATTACGGCATTTTGTACGAGTATGACTAGGTTCTATTTGCTAATATTTTGCTTAGAACTTTTGTATCTATGACATAAATGAGACTGGTTTATTATTTGTTCTGCTTATAATATCCTATTTTGGTATTAAGGTTATTCTTGGCCTCATAAATCAAGTTGAAAAGCATTTTCTCATCTCTGGAAAGTTTTAGTACGATTGGCAGTTTTCTTTAAATGTCAGATAGAATCCACTGGTGAAGCCAGATGGGTCTGGAAATTTCTTTTTGAAAATTTTTTAAATGAAAGGATTCCATTTATTTAACCTAGAAGACTATTCATATTTTCTATTTCTATTTTTGTCGTTTTTGCTAAGTTGTGTTTTTCTAGGAACTTGCCTGTTATACTTAGGCTTTCACATATATCTGCATGATTGCTTGGGTTTTTACAGCTGTAGGGCTCTGTAATAATGTCACCCACCCTTTCCTGATTCTGATTACCTGCACGTTCTCTCTTTCTTTTTCCTTGAACATTCTTCAATGAGGGCTGGGTTTCTTAGGTTCTCAGGAACTGTTTCTCCCTCTCTCTCTCCCTCTTTTCTCCCCACTTCCTCTATCCACAGGGATTTAACTGGACTCTGTTCATACAAACTGTGCTATCCTCTGTCAAAATCAAGCTGCTGCCAGATGAGGAAGTGGTGGTCTACGGCATCCCCTACCTGCAGAACCTTGAAAACATCATCGACACCTACTCAGCCAGGTGAGGCCCAGGGAGGGTCTCCAAAGGCCTCAGCATCTTTGCCCCTGCTCTCCCATCCTCCCCAGCACAGCTTCTGCTCCCAGGAGGGGACCCTATGAAGCATCTGCCCTGAGGTGTGTGGGACATGACGGGTTAAGCTTTAGTGACCAGTGGAGCCTTACATTAAAGATGTGTCACATCCCAAGCACCTGGGGCAGATGGGCTGGATCTTGGAGGAGGTTTTCTCCAGCACCAGTAACTCTCTGTTTGGGGTGGAACGTGCTGGCCAAGGGCCCTAGGCCATATCTCCTCCCTTGCAAAGACCTCTCACCTGTTCTCCCCCTCACCCTCTCTCTACCTTCTGCCCCCAGGACCATACAGAACTACCTGGTCTGGCGTCTGGTGCTGGACCGCATTGGCAGCCTAAGCCAGAGATTCAAGGACACACGAGTGAACTACCGCAAGGTGAGCCCCTGCCCCACCCGGAGCCTGGCCTGGCACTCATTCATTCAGGCCACGATGCTGAGCATAAGCTGTGGGCAAGTACCGAGGTCCACACCAGGGTCACAGCCATGGACGAGGCAGGGCGAGGCGCCTACCCTGGTCAACCATGAGCGGTCAACAAGGCAGAACGCAGCTCTGCCAAAACCACAGAGCGTGATGTGGTGTGGAGGCAGGGAGGGACGAGGGCAGAGAGGGACGAGGGCAGGGAGGGACGAGGGCAGGGGGCGTTGCTCTGGGGAGGTGACATTTGAGACCTTAAAGGCCTGAAGAGAAGGCAGGGTGATTTCCCGGGAGAAGGAACAGCCAGTGCCAGTGCAGAGGCCAGAGGCAGGAGCAGGCAGGGGCCAGGGGGCCAGACCCGGGGTCAGCAGGGGACAGGAAGGAGAAGAGGGCAGGGAGGGAGGTGAGGTGACTGCGGCTATGGGCCGCAGCAGCCGGTTTGGGTTGTACTCCCCGTCTGAAAACCGCCAGGGTGCTGAGAGCAGAGACTCGGTCAGCTTTCCTGCTCTGTAGTCACTGTGGCTGCTCCCGGCTGGGGTGAGGGTGGAGACAGGGAACCGCAGGGAGGCCCTGGGAGATTCTGGCTGTTCCAGAGACAGTGAGCTGGGTAGGGGGCAGTGTCAGCATGGAGGCCGATGTGGTCACCCAGGCGAGGTGACGGGTTTGGCCAGGGTGGTGGCAGACAGACAGACACACGCCGGGGAGGTATTGGCCACAGCAGCTGAGGGATTGGGTACAGGGGCTAAGGGCAGAGGGGAGTCGGGACTTTCAAGACCTTTGCTGGAGTGATGAGAGGGACAGAGGCCCCCACTGCAATGGGGAGACTGAGGCAGAGGCAAACTGGGGGCAAGTCAAGCCTCCTGGTGCCATGGGGGCTCAGAGACATCTGTGAGCCAAGCGTCAGTGGGGCACTGAGTCCAGGAGCTTCTGGGGAGGCAGAAAGGGCTGCCTCCCTTTCCTAGGGAGCAGGAAGTCCTGCAGCCCAGAAGATGTGGCAGGACACTGGGCAGAGCGCTCCCTGGGCTTGCCTGAGTCTGGGCTCCATAGTCTCGTGCCCCTGTGTCCCTGGGGACAGATGAGCAGGTGTTCTCACAGCTGCTTCAACAATGGGGAGACCAGGGCCCTGGGAGCTGGTGGCTGAGAGGCACGTGGTCCCAGGCCTTGCTCTGGGTTCAGCGCCATCCCAGTGCCTTGGGACTGGGGCTGGAGTCCTGGAGAGCAGAGTCCAGCCAGACAGCCAGGACAGGGACTGGGGAGGAACCCCCCAGCTCCCCAGGGTAAAGGCCCAGCTCTCAGTCGGGGGAGGTCCCCCAATCACAACGGCATGCCCATCCTCTGCCACTGCAGCACCCAGAGGCAAGGCTGAGACCATCCCATGCCCCCTGCTGGCCCCGGGGCACCCTGAGTCTGAGGATAGGTGGGTCTGCTCACCCCGTAAGCCCAGGGCCCCATGCCAGGCTTGGCGAGGCTGACGTGGGGGCTGGTGGGATGAACGGGTGGCCCCGCCAGGCACTGTTCGGCACGATGGTGGAGGAGGTACGCTGGCGTGAGTGTGTGGGCTACGTCAACAGCAATATGGAGAACGCCGTGGGCTCCCTCTACGTCAGGGAGGCGTTCCCTGGAGACAGCAAGAGCATGGTGGGCACCCCTCGTCCATGGCCCACCTGGGGCCAGCCTTCCGCAGGGACGCTGAGCCTCCCTGCCTTGGGACTCCCACCCTGCCCAGGCCTAGAGGCCCCTGGGAGAGCCACACCTGCCCCAGCGCATCAGACAGAGGGAGGCCAAGGGAAGCTGTGCCCACCCCCATGCCCTGACCCCAGCCGACCATCGGGCCCCACTCCTGGGCCCTGCAGGTTCAGCTGGGAAAGGCACAGGTGGTACAAGTTGCCCCAGGCCCATGAGGACCCACAGCCCAGCAGGGAGGACCCTGAAGTTGGGTGGTCATCTCGTCCCCCCAGCAGCCCCACACCTCACCCGAGAGGCCCACAGCTGGGCAGCCCAGGGCCTTGCCCCGGCAAGGCTCAGACCAGACCTCCCCAAAGCCCTTGAAGGTTGGTCATCTGCCCTCCAGATAAGTCTGGGACACGGGGGCCATGCCTGCTTCCCAGGTCAGAGAACTCATTCACAAGGTGCGGGCAGTGTTTGTGGAGACGCTGGACGAGCTGGGCTGGATGGACGAGGAGTCCAAGAAGAAGGCGCAGGAGAAGGTACATGGCTTGCAGAGGCCAGGGCAGCCCCGACTGGATCTGGGCACGGGCAGCACTGCCCCGACAAAGCCGCCTGACAGCCCCCATGGGGAGAAGGCAGCCCCGGGAGGCACAGACAGGACCACTCGTCCACTGTGGAGCTGAGGAAAAGCAGGCAGGGGTGGGAAGCTAGGCCTGGGACATCCACAGTGCCCCCCAGGAGCCAGCGGGGGTAGCAGTGGCCTCGGGAGTGAGGGTCAGACCCACCAGAAGCCCCTCTGGACCCAAGTGACAGACGGCAGCCAAGTGACACCTCCAGGGCCCCTGCCCCCACCCAGACCCCTGGCGGGCTGTTGGGCTGTAGGTCAGGTGGGCAGAGCCAGACCCCTGATGGGCTTTTGGGTTCTAGGTCAGGTAGGCGGAGCCTTCAATGCTCTGTCCCCATTAAACCTCCCCAGAGACTGCAAGGTGAGAGCCAAGTCCCGGAGCCCCCCAGTCCCTCACCCACAGGACAGGGATAGCACAGCCAGGATGCCCTGGGCCGACCCCTCCCACAGTGGGGCACCCACTGACCGGCCCCAGGGCTGACCTCATACGCAGTGGGGCACCCACTGACCAGTCCCTCCTCCCCACTTAGGCCATGAGCATCCGGGAGCAGATCGGCCACCCTGACTACATCCTGGAGGAGACGGACAGGCGCCTGGACGAGGAGTACTCCAACGTACGCCCCTCACCCCAGCCCTAAACCGCCCCCTACACCGTGGACATGGGCCCTGATTTCCTGGGGGGTCCTCTGTGCCAAGCCCTGCGCCCTCCTCCTGGATACTAACATAGCTATCCTCACCGAGCCCTAGGGTGGTGGCTCCAGCACTACCCTCAGTGTACAGATGGGGAAACTGAAGCTTGGAGGGATGAGGGACTTGCTCAGAGTCACGTAAATGCTCACAGCCAGGGCTGCCCCACCCACCTGCACCCACAGCCGATTGTCCACGTACAGATGCCTGGCGAGGCTTGAAGTCCTTCCCCAACCACCCAAGACCTCTCCCCTTGCCCCTCTGAGGGCCCAGCCCGAGCATCTGGCAGTGACTGCACCTCTCCCACAGCTGAACTTCTCAGAGGACCTGTACTTTGAGAACAGTCTGCAGAACCTCAAGGTGGGCGCCCAGCGGAGCCTCAGGAAGCTTCGGGAAAAGGTGGACCCAAATCTGTGAGTGGCCTCGCTAGCACGGCCCACGGAGTGGCCAGTAAGGCATACAGGGCTACCTGCCAGGCGGGGAGACGATGCATGGCTGGGGTCCGGTGCCAGCTCAAGGGGGCACTCACTGGGCCCATCTTCACCCTCTGCTTTCTGGGGCCCAAGTCGCCTCCTCCTCAGGGACCCCAGGAAGGAACCAGATCTTGGGATAGGCCTCGGCCCCTCCTCTGGTGTGGCCGGGGTGGGCTCTGGTCCACCGAGGCAGAGAGAGCCCAGAGGGAGGGTCCCCGGAGAGGCGGCTCCCAGAGACCGGCTTGTCTATCACAGCTGGATCATCGGGGCGGCGGTGGTCAATGCATTCTACTCCCCAAACCGAAACCAGATTGGTAAGTTCCTCCCCTTCCCCGCCTGCCCAAGCCTTTTGGTGCCAGAGTTGAAGGGGCAGCTTGCAGCCCCCTGCCCATCCCTTTCTCCTGGGGGGACCCCAGCCTGTTCTCGGAACGCTCTCCTACATCACCCCTTGCTGGCCCCATGGGGAACATTCGCTCCCATGCCCATCGGGGCTCAGGGAGGGACTTGGCAAGCGGCATGGAGCCTTTCCTGCGGACAGAACAGGATGGTGGGAGGAGGCCGGACTGAGGTCCTGGGTCTGCCAGGCATGAGCCCGCCCAGCCTCTGAACCTCCCTGTCCTCATCTGTAAATTGAGGGGGTCCTGACCTCTGCCTGCCTGTCTGTGGGATCAAGTGTGAGAACCCCTGGCGGTGCCATCCCTGAGCCTGGCACACAGGAGAACCCCTGGCGGCGCCATCCCTGAGCCTGGCACACAGGAGATGCATCTGCTCACAGTTTATTCTTTGTCCCACCCTTGGGGACAGTGTTCCCTGCCGGGATCCTCCAGCCCCCCTTCTTCAGCAAGGAGCAGCCACAAGCCTTGAACTTCGGAGGCATTGGGATGGTAATCGGGCACGAGATCACGCACGGCTTTGACGACAATGGTGAGGGGCTGCCCCTCCAACCACACACGCCCTCCCCTCTCCACAGAGAAGCAGCTGGGAAGGAGCCTGGGGGAGCTCCATTCAACCCCTTCGTAGTTTCAGTGGGGACGCCGAGGCCAGGTCCTCAGGGAGCTGTGGGGGCAGAGCAGGCCTTGAATGCCAGGCTGGGGCCCTGTCTGGAGGCACTGACTCCCAGCATGGCGGAGGGGACCCAGGGACTCCAGCCCATGACCCTGACTCCACCTGGCACTGGGAACTTCCCTCCCACGGCCTGTGACATGGGGATGACAACACCGCCCAGCACAGCAGTGAAGCCCAGATCCCAGCCTGGGGAGCCTCTCCAGGCGGTCGGCATCCTCCACCAGGGGAGTGTGCCACCCCCGCCATGGCCATGCTGACCTCTGCCCCTTGGTGGGGACTGCCCTGCCTGGGACAGGGGCCCCGGCTGGTTTTCCCCTGTGGCTCGGCCATCGGGACATTCCATGGGCAGCCCTGTGTTCCCAGGGACCACGTGCTCCCCGCACCTGGGGTTTACAGTTTGGGCATCACAAGAAGAGCCCTTAAACCATGATGCCTGTGAGACCACAGGACCCAGGCAGTAGGCTCTAGCCTCAGGGGGTGGCATGGGAGACCACTGAAGCCCTCCCTCTCTGGGGGCTGTGGAGCCCCAGACAGCTGCTGCTCTTTGGAGCCCGTGCCTGCTCAGACCATGGGCTCTCCGTACTGGGGCTGTCTGCAGGAGGGGCCAGGCACAGTGGTTGCTGTGGGGCTGAGCACAGTGCAGCCAGGGGCATGTGGGCAGCCCTCCTCTGCCCCTGCCCAGGTCGGAACTTCGACAAGAACGGCAACATGATGGATTGGTGGAGTAACTTCTCCACCCAGCACTTCCGGGAGCAGTCAGAGTGCATGATCTACCAGTACAGCAACTACTCCTGGGACCTGGCGGACGAACAGAACGTGAGCACTGCCACCAGCACCGAGGCTGCAGGGGGACCGGATCCCCAGCCCCGGCCCTGAGGGAGAGGGGAGTCAGGGTGGGGGCTGCCCCAGTCCTGTCTCCTGTGCGCAGGTGAATGGATTCAACACCCTTGGGGAAAACATTGCCGACAACGGAGGGGTGCGACAAGCCTACAAGGTGGGGCCTGGCAGGGCAAGGTGGGGTCTGGCAGGGGAGGGGGTGTTAGCGTGGCAGGGGAGGGGGCATCAGGGGCTCATTCAGGATGAGCGCCATGCAGTGGGCTGCCTGGCCAGGGATCCCCCCTAGAGCCCAGTTCAGGGGTCTCTGAGTGACTGAGGTGGTGAGCACTCATCCATGGAGTGTGCGAGGGGCCCTTGCACAAAGTCCCTGCAGCAGCAGGACCCCCACAGGGGTAGGTCCTGGAGCCAGATCTCTGCTGTGCCCTGAGATCTGAGGGTTCTGGAGTCCAGGCTGGCAGGCCTGAGCCCAGCTCCCATCTGGTGCCTGCAGGCCTACCTCAAGTGGATGGCAGAGGGTGGCAAGGACCAGCAGCTGCCGGGCCTGGATCTCACCCATGAGCAACTCTTCTTCATCAGCTATGCCCAGGTGGCAGCCACAGTCCTGTTCCCACCATCCTCATGCTTCCCCACTCATCTCTGGAGGGCCCGCCCTGGGTTGCCTCCAGGGACCAAAACCCAGCGTGCAAAACCCCTTGGGGGAAAAGCATGAGGGGCAGGGGGCGGGAGCTGGAGAGGATCCCAATGCTGACGGGAGGAGGGGGGCACCTGCTGGCTCCCCTCACCCCACCCTAGAAGGGGCAGCCCGGGGATAGTGGAGACCCTCTCCCACCCCTCCTGGCCACCCTATCTCCATCGCCTGTAGCCACACCCCCCACACGCCCACAGGTGTGGTGTGGGTCCTACCGGCCCGAGTTTGCCATCCAATCTATCAAGACAGACGTCCACAGTCCCCTGAAGTACAGGCAAGTGCTCCCATACCCACAACCCCTTTGCCACCCACAACCCCCTCACCCCCACCCCAGTGGCCTGTAAGAGTTAAAGAAGAAAGCACAAAAAGCGGCTCAGCAAAGCCAGGTTTATTTTGAGAATCAACCTGAGAGGGGCTTCTGGCCAATTTCAGTCAAGAACATTCTCTTACCGACTAAGGGTATTTAAGGGTTTAGGAAGGGGGAGCCTACCACAGGCTGGGAATGTTTCTGTGTGAAGGGAAGTTTTATTGCAGAGTTGGAATATCTGTGGTTGGAAAGGAGGTTATTCTCGGGATTGGCATGTTTCTGGTCAGATGGGGGTTTATCTCACAGCTGAAATGTTTCTGGTCATACTGACATGAGCCATTAGGCTGATGTTTTGGGCTGGTTTTTAATCACGGGGAACTTAAAATGACCGTGTTTGTCCAAGATGGCAATGCTCCTGCTGTCACACCCACCCACCCACAGGGTACTGGGGTCACTGCAGAACCTGGCCGCCTTTGCAGACACGTTCCACTGTGCCCAGGGCACCCCCATGCACCCCAAGGAGCGATGCCGCGTGTGGTAGCCAAGGCCCTGCCGTGCTGCGTGGCCCACGCCCACCCGCTGCTCCGAGGCATCTGTGCGGAGAAGGTGCAGCCAGCGGCGACCCAGCATGTGTCCCGCCCCGGCCGACCATGCCAAGCCTGCCTGCCAGGCCTCCGCACCTGGCCTAGGGTGCAGCCACCTGCCCGACACCCAGGGATGAGCAGTGTCCAGTGCAGTACCTGGCCCAGAGTCCCCTCTACGGACACCTGTGGGGCTCAGCGCCCCCGTCACAGCCCTATAGAGACGATCAACTGTGTCCTGCCCACCCTCCAAGGTGCATTGTCTTCCAATATCCACAGCTTCAGACTTGAGCTAAGTAAATGCTTCAAAGAAATCAGAGGCCTTGCTTGTCTGGGAGGGACCAGGGTGGGCAGACAGGTGGCAGTGGCCTTGGGCACAACAGCTGCCTGGGGATGGGGGGAGAATGACAGCTGGGAGCTGATGGGGAGGGAGCCAGTTCCAGTCAAGTCAAGGCGTCGGGGGACCCAGAGAGCTGCAGCTGGGAACCTGACATTTTAGCTTTGTGTAACTGAAAACCAGAGGAGGGGCTGAACCAAAGGGACGAGGTGGGTCACCTGCTATGCATTTGTAAATGGCCACTGAGAGGGTGGGATTGGGGCGGGAGGGGAGCCGGGAGACCCGCAGGAGCCCACAGCGGCCCCAGGTTTGGACCAGGGAGTGCAGGGAGGGCTGCTGTTGTCACTGGCCTGCACGGGAGGGGAGGGCCTGAGCAGGCAGTCTGACCTGGGAGGTAAGGGGTTCTGCTCTGGGCCTGTTAGGATCCCCAAGGGAAGGTGGCCAGGAAGCTGGCCATACCTAACCGGACTAAGACCCTCCCACGCCGGCCGCCCCACAGGCCATCCCCAGCAGGTGCAAACAATGATTCTGACATCAGTAAAAGGCCTTGGGGCAGGCTGGCCCATCACCTGAGAGTCTCCAGGGTCTACCCACCCCACCAGGTGGAATCAAGCCCAACTCTGCCCTGAAAACCCAACTCTCCTGAGTAGCTCCCACCAGACATGGCACTGACCCCGACCCCGCTGCAGCTGACCCCACACTCCTCTCCTGACGTGGGTTCGGGTCTGTCGCCTTTGAAGGGACTGACAGGGCAGTGAGGTTACCATCCCCAGTGCCCCACAAGCCAAAGGCCCAAGGTCTCCAGAGACACTCGCAAAGCAGGAAGATGACCCCTGGGACTCACAGCTACCCTGCCTGCCCCGAGGGCCTCAACAGTGAGCGAGGCGGGAGCTATGGAGGACGCAGGGCTCGGCGCTTGTGAAGCAGTGCGTGGCCAGGAACTGCAGTGTTTTCTTGTTTCGTTTTGTTTTGTTTTTTTGAGACGGAGTCTCGCTCTGTCGCCCACGCTGGAGTGCAGTGGCCGGATCTCAGCTCACTGCAAGCTCCGCCTCCTGGATTCCTGCCATTCTCCTGCCTCAGCCTCCTGAGTAGCTGGGACTACAGGCGCCCGCCACCTCACCTGGCTAGTTTTTTGTATTTTTTTTAGTAGAGACGGGGTTTCACCGTGTTAGCCAGGATGGTCTCGATCTCCTGACCTCATGATCCGCCCATCTCGGCCTCCCAAAGTGCTGGGATTACAGGCTTGAGCCACCGTGCCCAGCCAGGAACTGCAGTTTTAACGGCTCGTTGCTGCCGGCGGATCAGGAGAGGTTCGGCATCCCGGCCCAGCGACTCCACAACGGTTCTTCCAAGTGGACTTCCAGCTCACCCAGGGCAGCAGCCGCCGTCCACATCCTCAGAGGCCAGGGCCTTCACCTCCCTCACACCTCTCTGTCACACTGCGGGGACAGCAGGGGCCCATGGGGCCGCTGGACACTGGACCAGGCAAATGCCTGAGAGGGTCCCCTCAGACAATCCCCAGCCCTCCCGAGGCTGAGAGGACAGGCCTCTCTCTCTGTCCACCATGTGTCGCCCCCACCTCTGAGGACAGCCTCGTGGTACCTGTCCATCCAGCCATGCTGCCCTTCGGCCCCTCTCAGCCTGCCCCCTTCTGCAAGTGGGGTCACAGGGGCATCCACATCCCAGGACACAATTGGCATGATGCCCAAGGTGCTGTGACTCAGCTCCCAGTGAGGCCCAGTGCTCCTCCCAGGGGATCTGGGGGCACGGCGTGGGTTGGCAGGCAGTGCCCCCAAGGCCTAGCTCACCTGAGGCGGGTTGCTGGCACAGACCTCCGCAGAGATGCCCAGGACCTGCAGGATGTGCTCCTGGGGGACATAATCGCCTGGGGACTTCTGAACGAAATGCAGCAGCACTTTGTCACCACCTGTGGCAGCGGGCAGGCAGTCAGGGCGCCCCGAAGGCTGCCTGCACCTCGAAGCCACGTACCAGGAGGAGGGAAGTCGGGGCAGACCTGGCTGGCCATATCCCCCACTCAGCTACCCAGATGAGTGAGCTGTTCTGCCACAGCCCAGCTCAGCCCAGCAGACATGCAGAACTAGGCCACATTGCGGTGGAGGGGCTGTGATGAGATTGACAAGCCAGAGAGAGGGCCTGGGCTAGGCCACCAAGTTCAGCAAGGTCCTCCCTGAGGCAGTGGCCGGGGCCCCTCCCTCAACCCACCTTTGCTGACCACCAGCAGCCCTCCGCTCTGCAGCAGGTCCCCAGACAGGTTCCCCTGGATGCCAACAGCCTTGGCCTGTCAGGAGTGGGCAAAGCCTGGGTCAATCCTAGAGGAAAGGCCCCTGGGAGCTCCCACCACCCCCCGGCCTGTACAGCCTTGACCCACACAAACCTTGGCAGCCACATCACGCACAGGCTTCCCCAGAGCTGCGGGGAGGACGCTCAGGCTGTTGTACCTGCGAAGACACCAGGTCGCTTGGCCAGACTCCAGAGAAGCCTGGGTCCAGAGCCTGCTCCATGTCCACAGACCAGTTCCTAGGTCGGGCCCCACCCCACCCCACCACCCACCTCACCAGGGCTCAGAGATGGCCCAGGCAGCCAGATCAGCAGCCAGCCTAGCCCACCGGCAGGTTGGACACCGAGCCCAGTGGCTGCTGGCCAAGGGCCCACAGAGGGTGCAGGGGGCATGGATGGAGCAGGCTGGGTGTGCTCAGGGATCTGGCTCAGCTGGCAACTGCCAAGCAAAGGAGGCAGTCTGTGGCACAAACACCAGAAAGCTAGGATGGCCCCTGATGCGGCACGAGGCTCCAACCTCCGAGGTGGTCTGGACACCGAGAGTAAGCCCTAGACAAGGTGGCTCGTTACAGTCGCCCAGCACCCAAGAGAAGGCCTGGCAGAAGGGCTGGTCGACAGTGCCACCAGAGCCGCGTTGCCTGGGAAGGCCTGAGTGGACAGCACCACAGAGGGCAGCAGGGAGAGGAGGTGGCAGGGAGTGGTGGGCACCCCTGGGCCCTCCGCCCCATGCGACCTGAGGGTGCCCGTCCCCACTCACTGCTTGAAGCCCAGCTCCTTATAAAGCTGCTTGCTCTCATCCAGGTAGAGCTCTGGAAAGCGGAAGCCACAGATGTGTGCCCCAGGCCTGGAACCAGCCCCCAACCCACTCACTACCAAGAATCACCCTCCTCCTTCCGACCCTCTGTTCTTCTGCCCACCTCCGTGCTCAGCCCACCCACCCAGGGCCAGGAGAGGTAAAACAGGGCTGAGTGACCCCCTCCCCTCAGAAGAGGGGCTGAGTCCCAGAGGTGACAGGTGGAACCGGCGAGGCAGAGCTCGCCCAGACTCTGCTGCTAGGCTCAGGTCTGTGCAGAGCATCACCCAGCCACCAGCTGCGGGGCGGGGAGGCAGGGAGAGACGAGGGACGCTGACCGGTGGACATATCAAGGCCACTCCAGGAGACAGAAGAGCCAGGGCTGGGCAAGAAAAGGCCCCGAACGCCCTGAGTTTAGGGAAGGGTGTCTGCGCCACCGCGTCGGGGAACAGGACGCCCCTCCTGCGAAGTAGCCGCCGTCCAGGAACTCCTGCAGACCCAGGGCCTCGGGCCCCACGCCCACCAGACGCACACCGTGCTGGTCCAGGAGCCCCGCGAGGCCGCTGAGGTCCTGGGCGATCCAGCGGCACACCACGCAGCCGAAGCGCCGCAGCCCGGCCACCACGCACGCGCGATCCCGCCACAGGCTCCGCAGCTCCACGGCCTGCCAGGCGGCTGGGTCAGGGGCGCGCCCCGCGGCCCCCATTCCCGCCCCAGCCCCGCGGCCCCCACCAGCCCATCGCTGCCAGGGCGCCCGGGCAAGAGCCGGGGACGCGCCCACCGTCCTGCGCTCGCCCGGTCTCACCTCCCCAGTCACCGCATGCTTCAGGATGCACGCGCCCACGCGGGCAAGGTCCACCGTGCTCATGGCCGCGGCCGCCCGCCCTGGTTCCCAGCTCCCCGCTCCCGGCTTCTGGTTCCCAGATCCCGGCTCCTGGCTCCCAGATCCAGCCCCAGGCCCCGCCTCGAGATGCCCCGGCCACGCCTCTCTCGCTGCCGCCGAGGCCCCGCCCTTTCGGGCTCGTCTCCGTCCCGGGCCCCCCCACAAGATGGCCGCAGAGCGCCCAGCCACGCCTCTGGCCACGCCCCCTTCCGCACCCCGAGCCCTGCTCCGCCTCCTCGGATTCGCCCCTAGTCACGCCTTGCTTCCCCTCCCACTCCAGGCCAAGCCTCCAGATCGCGGCGCCAAATCCCGCGTCCGCCTGCTTGGGTCCCTCCCGCCTCCTCAATCCGGGCCTTGCTGGAAGGTTGCTGTCCCGCGTCCCGGTCCCGCCCCTAGCCCCGCCCCTAGCCCCGCCCCCAGCCCCGCCCCCAGCCCCGCCTTCCCGTTGGGCCCAGACTTGGACTCCGTCGGCCATTGGCGCAGCAGGCGGAGCTGGGCGGTGCGACCCTCGGCGCGCGGTGCGCCTGTGCGAAATGCGGCGGGAGGCGGAGCAGGCTCACGGTGGTCCCGGGGGTGGCTGGGACGGCGCACCCAGGGGTGGTCCAGGGAGCGGCGGGGGTCTCCCTGCGGGCTCGCGTGAAACTGGGCTGGATTCAAGGTTGAGGGGAGAGGGTGAGCGCAGGGGTCGCGGGCATAGGGGACCGCGGGCCGGGGGTCCCAGCAATGGGGGTGCGAGGGCTTAGCCTTTCCACGTGGTCTGGTTTTCGCTTGAAAATCCCCGCAAATGCGGCGGTATCTCAATTATACATGGACGTGTTGTCTTGAATCATAAAATACTGTTCGTGTCGTGCCGGTTGCATATCAGCTTTTAACCCCCCAAACCTTGGGGCGAGATGGACCCCGGGGAGATAAACACAGCTCCCAGAAGTGCACTGCGGGTCAGGCGCCTGGCATCTGTTCCTCCCCCACTGCAGCCCTGTGATAGCGTTTATCGACGAGTTGGAATGAGGGCCGGGTCACAGGTTCACCCAGCCTGGGCTCCCAGCTGGGCGGGCCCGGCCTGGCAGAGTCTGTGCTCCTGGCACGGGGCCTCACTCCCCAGGACAGTTCCAGGGGCCTGGGCGGGCTGGAGAAGGAAGGGGGAGCCCCCACACTGTATTCCAAATAATGGGAGGCCCGGGGGGGCGGTGCTGCTTCCTTCACCTGTGCCCTCTCCCTGGGGTGGTGAAGGTCCAGACAGGGAAACGGAAGTCGTTCCTATGTCAGAAAGGGCAAAAGGCAAAACAAGGAAGGGGAAGCCCGAGGAGGGAGGAGCTGTGGCAGCCCCAGAGCCCAGGAGTGCAGCCCCCAGAGACCAGGGCTACCCCTCTACCGTGTCGGACTGTGCAGGAGGGGCCCTCTGCTGTCTGGGGCTGCGCAGGAGGGGTCCTCTACCCTCTGAGGCTGGGCAGGAGGGGCCCTCCACCGTCTCAGGTTGTGCAGGAGGGTCCCTCCACCGTCTGGGGCTGGGCAGGAGGGACCCATCTACCTTCTCTGGCTGCGCAGGAGGGGACCTCCACCGTCTTGTGCTGTGCAAGCAGTGAGCAAGCGCCGCCTCCTTGGGAGCTGGGATCCCAGACGGGATTCAGCCATTTTCAAGGACATCCCGAGAAACAAGAATGCCAGATCAATTCCTCGCCTGGCATCTCCCACCAGCGCCATCGCTGCAGGAGCCTCACAGGAAGCCAGCGGGCAGAGGAGAGTGGGAAAGGAGCTTGCAGCCTCCCAGCGCCAGTGCTGCGGAGCAGAAGGTGGCTGGGAGGCCGAGAAGCCGTGAGAAAACAGCAGGGCCAGCCCATGTGGCCGCTCAGATACATGCTGTGTGTGTGTTTGCATATGTAGGGCCTGGAAAAACTCCACCTCCATCCTTTTGAGGTCCTAGCTGAGCCCAAGAGTTAAATCAAGGTAAGACAGATCATCATGCCAATGTATTTGATTCAGGTTGGATGTGGCTCGGGAGCCCTCCTAAGGAAATGAAGACTCAGTGAGCGGCCTCAGTCACTCGTGTGCTGAGTGGGACGGAGAACAGTGAGGTTCCAGGAAGCAGCTAGATGATGTGAGGGCCTGGAAAGGTGAGAGGCATTTCATCAAGGACTGTACAGCATTTGCTGGGTCTCAGCTTCTCATCCTTAAGGATCCGAGCTTTCTAGTGTAGGCAGAGCATCTTTCACCCGGGAATTTCATCTTCTGCTTTTAAGAAACACAAGAGAGATCAGAATGAGCTTTTTGCACCTGTTATTTTTTTAACTGCCTTTAATTCCAAATAGTGACTGCCAGAGCAGCCTGTATTGGGGTGGCACCTTCTTAACTCTGCATGCTGTACATAACTGGCACACATCATTTAAAGTAAATAGACAGGTTTGCTTACTTTTTACTCAGGTGCAACGTAATTCAGAAAAGTGTAGACATGCTCAGTAGGCAGCTCCTTCTACACGCCTGTCGACCTTCTTTCATCGATGACATGTTGATCCGCTCTCGCTAAGCTGTGCTGCTGAAACAACTCGCAAGCCTGGGTCGATCACAGCAACCAAGTTTCCCCTCCCACTCACGTTTCTTGTTGGCCACGGGGTGGCTCAGCTCCTGATGCCTTCTTCATTCTGGGGTCCAGGCTGAGCAAGCTGTGGCTCTCTGGAACATGCCGTTCTCCTGACCAAGGGAGGACACGGAGGAGAGATGGAGAAACCATGCCACACTCTCCCAGTGGCCGTACACAGCTGGGATGTGTCGCTTGCACTCACATGCCACTGGCCAGAGCAAGTCGTGTGGCTGAGGAGGCTGTCTGAGGGGCAGGGAAGAGCGCTTCCTCCTCCAAGTGGTGTCAGCTCTGGGACTGGGTTTTAGCTTTTCTTACAAGGGAAGAGCTGGCCCGTTACTGCGGCAGGGATGCTGACAGAACACATGAAACTCTGGGGTCAGAGACAAAGGACTTCGTCATTCACGGCATGGCAGGCAGGTGCTCAACTGTGTGTTTGGTCTTATCCCCTTGCCCCCAAGTTCCACGGACACCATGCGGGTGGGCCTGGGTGGGTGCTGCACAGTCAGTGGGTTTGCATGGCCACTGAGGAGCCCTGCACTGGGGGAGTCGGCTGTTTCTGCAGCAAGCAGTGAGCAAGCTGCTCTTTGTCCCTCGAGGACTCTCAGGGCAAACCACCCTGAGAAATGGGGGAGGGTACTCAGGGCCTGTGTTCCTGGCAGGCCCTGTGAGAGGTGGGGGGCACGAGACACTTGTGGAGGACTGCCCTCTTAACAGGAGAAGCTGCCAGTACCAGAGGCCAAAGGGAGTTACCCAGAGATTTCACTGGCATCCCTGGGCTGCCTGGTGCCACATATGTGAAAACAGTCGTTTCATTGAAGCTTGTCCACTCAGTAGCTGTTGAAGCGGGGAGGGTGTCTTAGTCTATTAAGGCTGCTATTTTAACAAACAAAAAAATATAAACTACCACAGACTGGGTGGCTTTTAAAGAACAGAAATTGATTTCTCACATGTCTGGAGGCTGGAGGTCCAAGATCAAAGCGCCGGCATATTCAGGGTCTGGCGAGGACCCCTTCCTGGTTCCTAGATCGCTGCTTCATGCTGTGTCCTCACAGGGCGGAAGGCGCGAGGGGGCTCTCTAGGACCTCCTTTTTAAAGGCACGAACCCTGGCCAGGCACAGTGGCTCACACCTGTAATCCCAGCACTTTGGGAGACTGAGGTGGGCGGATCACCTGTGGTCAGGAGTTCAAGACCAGCCTGGCTAACATGGTGAAACCCTGTCTCTACTAAAAATACAAAAGTTAGCTGGGCATGTTGGCGGGTGCCTGTAGTCCCAACTACTTGGGAGGCTGAGGCAGGAGAATCACTTGAACTCAGGAGGCGGAATTTGCAGTGAGCCAAGATCGCACCACTGCATTCCAGCCTGGGCGACAGAGTGAGACTTCGTCTGAAAATAAAATAAAATAAAATAAAATAAATAAGGGCACTAACCCGTTCCTGAGGGCTCCACCCTCACTACCCACCTAAGCACATGCCAAAGCCCCACCTCATCATAATGTCATCGCATTAGGGATTCGGTTTTAGCATATGAACTGGGGGAGGGCACACAAATGGGGGAAATTGGCTCCACTGTGTGAAAATTGTCAATACCAAGGCAGAGTCATTTACGTCAGTACCCAAGCAAAGTGCAGCTGGGAAGCCTCAAGGAAAGGCTCCTCATGCCCAGGTGCCTATGATGAGAACTGTTGCAGGGACTCTGACAGCACACAACATTCCAGATCAGCTCCTCCTATGAAGACGCCTCCCCAGCAACAATTGTGTTACCCGTGAGTGATCACCAACCCTGCAATAAGCTCCTGTACCCAGTGAGGTTTATTCCAAAACAATCTGTGTAGAATTCCTCATCTCACCCATAAAAGAAAGATACACCTACGATCCCCTACAGCATGCATATCCCAGATTGCAATCCCCTGCCATCCCCCAGTAAACTTTGTTTGGGAGAGCCAGTCTCTCTGTTGTTTATTTTACACTGACAAGTTGCAGCCTCGTGGCCAGCAGCAGAAGTCCTACTAGAAGTCCTACTAGGCTTCTTGAGTCTGTAGGTTGGTATCTTTCATCAGTTTGGGAATTCTTCTATTTTATTTATTTGTTTGTTTGTTTGTTTGAGATGAAGTTTTGCTCTTGTTGCCCAGGCTGGAGTGCAATGGCTGGATCTCAGCTCGCTGCAACCTCTGCTTCTTGGGTTCAAGCGATTCTCCCGCCTCAGCCTCCGGAGTAGCTGAGATTACAGGCACCCACCACCATGCCCAGCTAACTTTCATATTTTAGCAGAGACAAGGTTTCATCATGTTGGTCAGGCTGGTCTTGAACTCCTGACTTCAGGTGATCCACCCACCATAGCCTCTGAAGTGCTGAGATTACAGGCGTGAGCCACCGTGCCCAGCTGGGAATTCTTGTTTTTAACCACTGTCTTACAGTGATGTCTCATTCTTCCCTTCCTTCCTTCCTCTTATTCTGGGAAGCCCAATACACATATGTTAGATCTTTCAACTAATGCGTCTTATTGAGTCAGAGTCACGTGAGTCTCCTGTTGTGTGTTGTGCTTTTGTTTCCCACAGGTATTTCGGTGCCTGTTTGCACCGTTTCTGTTGCCCTGTCTCTGTCTCCCCTCCATGGTCCACCTGCCACCAGGTCCAGTCTGCCGTCACCCGTCT